TGACTTATTCACAGTAGGAGAGGAACTGATGTCTTCAGCCCAGAGATAACTACTTGGATTCATGTGGACATTCAGCAACTTTTCTGCAGTGAAGTTTCAAACCAGGTCTCTCCTTTCAGCAGGTCATACTCCCATGCTTAAAGTGAGGAAGTTCTGCAGCCACTCCCAGGCACTGAGAGCCTCAGGGCTTAGACAGACTGTGAAGATTTGTTGGAAGCATCTATGCAAAAAACCGCTTGCATAAATATAATGGAGAGAGATTTAAATGTTGTTTTCTCTATAAAGGAAACCTACTGTATTTTCTAGTGACCCTTAATCTCTGTCCAATCCTTTTCTTGTAAGAGTATATTATAGACTCTGGTCACTGGTAGTTTGCCCTGTCTCTGAATTTTTGATTATGGAAAGCAACATTTTCTTTTAATAATTTCTTCTATTCCAGAAATCTTAAAGAGGAGAGGGTGTTTGTTCCCTGCGCTATTGCCTATTTCTAGTGCTAGTGAATATTTGATTCTCTGAAACATTGTTCTTATATGAGAAGCAGAAAAGAGAAGTTGTTGGTTTTGAGGTTGAGGTCAGGCATAGCTGAAGTTCCAGTAGAGGCCCTGGCTAATGCTGCAGGCTACTTTATTAACACCTTCTCAGTTGTATAGGCCTTGCTATGTATTTTTGTCTGCCCTGTAAACTAGGAGTTCCTTGGGGGTAGGAAAGCTGTGTCCATCCATCTGTTTATACAAGCATTCTCGTTAGTATTTTAACACTTGTCCACTCAAATGCTGCCTGATCCCTATCTCTCCCCCCTTGGAGTGGAGTAAGAGGCCTTGGGTGGGAACAAGTGCAGTTCTCAAGGTGGTGCAGCAGCTGCACTTTGTACACTGCCTCCCAGAGCTCTGGCTAAGGAGCATTCACTCTGAACCCAGCGCAGACGTACTTTTTTAGGGCACAGCTGTCACTGTGGTACTATATATTCACCCAGAATACAGAGCTGCTCACAACAGAGAGTAGTAAGAATTCTCTGCGGTGCAGTGAATGTAACATGTGATACTTCCAGCCTGCCCACTTGCTTTAAGCCAGGGATATTGGAAGTCAGATGTCTGCCTTGTAGGAAATTTGTGAGGGCTGAAAATTCCCATCTCTGAAGCAGCGCATGTTCCTCTGCTTTTCTGAGAGGCTGAAAGATGCTTCCCTTTTCAATATCAAGTCAGTGCATGGGCTCAAGGCACTGAAGAAATACTATTAAAATTAGATCTGTTGGTGGTGCCTTGGCTTGGATTTTGTAAATCAATTGACAGAACTGGCTGTGCCTTGAATCTCTGAACGTCTCTGTGTAGCATTAAATAAAGGCATTTGCAGCACCCAGCTACTGATAGCTCTGTTGTAATCCAGAGCAAGTGAGCTAAGACCATTACAAAGGTTTTCTGAAGTAGTCTAGATCTTTTAAGAAAAAATATTGTGGTCAAATTAAAAAATGAATATTTTACCTAGACAGAAATATGTTTCTCTCTGTTTGTTACCTATGTTCATAGAAGAGAGGCTGAGAGCCAACTAGAACTTGCTGTATAGACAGATCTAGATTTGCATTCTAATTCCAAGGGTTAATTAACATTTGTTCTTCAAAAATATTTTCAAAAAATATTTTAAATAGAAAATATTCCCTAAAGATTTCACAAAGACTCGGTGAGCTCTTCTCTGTTTGTGATTATATTTAGTAAATTTTTAGTAGATCAGAGATGAATTTTCAAAGGAAAATACCAACAGATAAAAGATAAACACTTTGCATTCCATTCCTTTCAGCTGGATCTTTAAAAATGGGAACAAGATAGTCTTGAAAGTGCCTTGACACTTCATATCTGGCTGCCCTATATCTCCATCTGTACGCTGGTATTTTGTCCCCAACAATTACTGACTGTTCTCAATGTCTGCTGTAAATGTATGCTGTGGCTTCACTTGAAATTCTCCCAGAGATGCCTCTCAGCTTCTAGCAAAAATATGTAATTTTGTGCTTCAGTTTTTGAATGTTTTATACAGATTCCACATCCCGTCCTTACTAATGCCTTCTATATGAAGGTCTACAGGACCAAATAATCTAGCATGGTTTTAGACAGTGAAAATGCTGGGGAAGAAGTAATTCTTTCCTGATACTTGTCATTTTTCTGCATTACCAATACAATAAATTAGAACCATCTTTTATACCTGTGAGTCTTGCTGTCTATGAAGTGAGGATAAGCTGAATTTAAGCCCAGAATTTGCTACCGTTATTCTTAGTTGAAGAGGTGACTGCAAATCTCTTTCTTTTCCTTTTCAAATTAAAGAACACTGACTGAGTAAGCCCAAAAGATTGAGATCTTTTCCTTGTTTTACCTAGTATGGTTCTCCTGAAGCTCTTTGCCTCAGAAGGGATGTTGCAATGGCCATAATTATAAATTCATATAAATCACAAATTCAAAGTTACTCAGGACTTTTTGCTTGAGAGATTCTTCTGATGAATGTATTTTTTCACTTAAGTGTTTTTTTCCAGAAGTGTTAGGCAGAAAATATCCGACTATAGTAGGTGAAATCAGGACAGTAGTTATAACCATCCACTCCCTCTAAATTAACTGGGTTGATGTACAAAAACCAGTCTTTGTTCCTGATGAGAGAAAGTGTGTATGTGTGTGGGAGGGGTGTCCCAGAATTTGGAACCAGCTGTCTGGCTACTGGAAACACCAGCATCACACAGTTAACGTTTTGTGGCAAGAACTTGCATGTTTCATGAGGAAGTAAAAGGTAGTGTCTTAGGAAAGTGATGTGTGGTGATTATTTATTAAAAAACCTCTAACAGGCAGGTTCAAGCCTTGATGGCAGCCTCACTGGCAAACAGCTCTTGTTAATAGAGCAAAAGGATAATTTGACAAAGACTGAAGTGTCCTACTCCATGAATTCAAGTCTTACTGACTCAGACAAATGAGTTTGGCATTAGTTCACATTTTGTCTTTTCCTGACCTCTTATTTTATTTTAGATTCTGTTTCTCGACATATTTGGAGGACTGAGCAGGTACAAGTACATGTGGGCATGAAAATAATCTGTATTCTTTATAGGCTTCTGGATCTGTGTACTTGGCACAATGCAAGTCAATAAAATGCATAGAAGCTAATATTTGCATAATAGGTTTGGAAAACTATGCTTGTAACATGAATCTCTTGTTTCTATTAATCTCTTTCTATGAGGGTTTTAGACTACAGAATAAAACTCCATCTTTGAAACTGCCACAAAATATTTCTCCCACCCCTTGATGTTTTAACACAAGAAAAATACATTGGAGGATGGTGCTGCCATTATCAATCAACCCTGCTTGCATGAGAATATATCATAGAACTCTTATTGCTTCTATCTCTAATGAAAAGGTATAAAAACTTGTCTCTTCCAGTCAGATCAGTTCTAGGATGTTCCTTACAGTGCCTAATTTGAAAATAATCTTTATTTTAAGAAGTAATGTATGAGCAACCTGGGTGCTGTGTTTTAGCTGATACTAAAGCTTGTGTTCTAGTAAATTGACAGCTCCCATTGTCAGGCTACACTGTCAATTAGACTGCCAGCCTCAGTACTGAGCACCTTTAATAGGATGTTAAGAAAGGGCTGGGTTTTTACCTTTTTTGGCTTATTTTTCTTTGCCAGTGATGAGCATAAATGAGCAGTCTAGGGAATTGTTTTGGAAGGAGTTTTTCATTTTTAGTACATACATGTTTATATAAGTGTTTTGAGGTCATATTAGGGAAGGGAGGTTAAGGAATTCCACTTCACACTTAGAAGTGTTTGAATTTTTGTTGGGTTTTGGTTTCCCTTAGAATTTAACTTCACAGTTTCAGCCTGGCTGAATTCACAGGGGAATTTTGGCTCATAATCAAACACATCTTTCTTTTATGTCCTCTGCACTGAAGGAACAGAATTTTTGAATGCAGCCTTTGTTGTAGTACTTCAGATTATCCTCGGGCTTTCTTAGAAGCGAGGAACGTAAGACAGTGAGTCTCTAAAAATAAGAGCAAAGACCTATAGCTGATGTCCATATGCTCCAAGTACTGAGTGCTGAAAGCAGAGGACAACTCCGATGTGTTCACTAAGCCTTGTCTGGCTGACGGTGTGTGAAGGCTCTGCTGTTTTGGTTGGAGTTCCCTAGCGGAGTCGAGTTTCCTAAGTAGCTGTGTTGGTGTCACCCATATGGAAGCTGAGAGAGCTGTGTAAAGCTGAGGTCAGGGGCTGAGGTCCATTTGGAGAAGATGCAGTTCACAAGGTTCCTGGAGCTGACAAAATGTGTTACCATAGTCAATGACCAGAATTCTGAACTGTTGTGTCAGCAGCTGCATTTGTAGTTGAAGCATTGTGGCTTTTTATTTCTGGCAGTGCCAGACTGTCATTGGAGTGTCGGGTCCAACAGGTTGATGAGATCACCTTGGGTATGCAGTGATCTGTCTTGGTAATGGAGCTGTAGTTGTATGTAGGTAAGGTTATCCTATAAAGCTTGCTATAAAAGAAGCAAAGCATGCCCAAGGCCCCTCACACACATTCATTTTCTGTCTGCTCAATAAAATCAATTAATTTGGGAAAAATTGCTTTTAGGAGGAAAAATAAACTAAAATCATGCAGTAGATAGTGGTTCATTAGTTTTCTGCTTCTGAGGAACATCTCTATATACTACTATAATATAAATAGTGATAATTATCCCCTTGAGGAAGAGATAATAGGTAATAAGGGAACCACTATATTGGGTTTAACCTCTCAAAATTGATGTAATGACAAGTAGATGTTGTCCTGAACCTTTGCAGAAATGTGAGTTAACTTTGATTTGTTTAATTTAAACAAATGCTGTTGTTTCACCCATACAATAGTAGATACAGCTAGTGTTGTATCTCTTAGTGTATTTATTGCTGCATGTATTCTGTATTATAATTCAGGGTGAGTTCTCCAACTGTTCTGTGTACAGAATAACTTATCCTGATAAGACCTTTTTTTTTCTTTTCCTGCACAGATCACCCCTGGCAGCAAGGCAGCACAGTCACAGATGAACCAGGGGGACCTTGTGGTGGCCATTGATGGAGTCAACACTGACAGCATGACCCACCTCGAGGCCCAGAACAAGATCAAATCAGCCAGCCACAACCTGAGCCTCACTCTTCAAAAGTATGTTGATATAAGTTAAAGTCTTTGCATTCCTAAGGGCATCCTATGAAATTCGTGACTAAGAGTTATAAGTGTTTTATCTCTGCCTGTTAGATTTATTTGAAGTGCTCATGACACAGATACGAGATGGAAAGCCAAAATCTGCTCTGATTCCTGTAGAAATTGGATGGATGTTATGTTGGAATTTAGCCTGCTGAATACCGGTGTCATGCCACATCCACTCGAGCTTCTGTTAAATAACATCAGCAGTAAAGTGTCTTTGGTTTATTCCCATATGGACAACACAGTTTTGTTTGGTTCATTTATGAACCACCATTCTAGAAACAACCAGTGAAATAAGTGTTATGGGTGCACGAGGGGAACCTGTCATTCACAGGAAGAATAGTCCCAGCAGGCTGAGAATTTGGGCTGATGTTCTGGCACCTGTGAGTTGGAAAGGGCCCACTTTGTATCTGGCAGAATAAGAAAGGTGTAGCCCAAGTGCAGGAAAGGGAGTCAGCAGAACATGGCAAGGGCAGGTTTTCTCATAGGGATGTGATGAAAGTTGTCCTGCCATTAAGAAAGCAGATAATAGGTCTTTTAACTTTTCCTGGTTAATGTTGCTTCCAAGGAAACTTGTTCTCAAGTCAGATAACCTTGTACAGAGAATTTCTGTAATAAAGGCATTAATATTTAAAGCTCCATAATTATAGAAGGCAAAGTAGCTGCTAATTTTATTGCATTATGGAGAAGATCATTTTTACATAGGGCAGGCAAAGACTGGTGCAGAAAGCATCTTGTGATGTGGAAGTGTAAGTTAGAATATGCCAAAAAATCTCATCCATGAATGTGCAGGAGGGCTAACCAGTATCAGAAACAGACTAATACCTAAGGGAATAAGATCTTTAGCTAAGGTTTCCGAGACAGAGCAGTATATTCTAAAGCAAAATGTATGCCTGAATTTCCCTCATGGCTTTAACTTCTAAGTTTGTCTTTAAGGCAGTGTTCCAGGTAGTGTATAAAATCAGTACAAAATGTAGAATGATGCTAACAAAACTGCAGCAAATATGTTAGCTTTTGTGAAAACATGGGGTAGACTTATATATTTCCTGGAAATGTAGAACTGTATTTTCTGAAAAAGAGTTTAAATTACAGCACTTGAGATTTTCAGTTGTTCCAGGTTTCAGATTTTCCTCAGTGTGGTCTGCCTGTTTCAGTGAATGCAGGGGAGGAAGGAGGATGCATGGAATGATTTCTGGTACCTCATATGATGTGCATGTGTGCCTCACGTGTGCTTAGGGAAGATTAATGAGAAACCAAGAAAGCCAAAACAAACCATGAGCCTAATCCTAAATGTGCTGAAATGGGCATTATATCAGAAGCCAGAAGAAAAGTCTTTCAGAGCTGTTGAGGGAAGATGGGGCACTATCTTAACATATGTAGTTGAATTCTCATTTCTATGGCCAACTCCAGCTTCTCTTTTCTCCACTCTGATGCTTGCTAGTGTTACTATGAATATATGCAAGATAACTTTTTTACTAAGATTTATTTTGTTCTGGATTATTTTTTATTTGAAAATAAGGGAAATCCTTTCTGATTATTATTTTAGAACTTCTGTCTGCTTTTCTGTTGGATCCTTGTGTTTTTACATTGAGAAAAATGTTTCTTATTGTCTTTTGGGTTGCTGCATACTTGGAATTATTTTATCTCGATAGTGGATCTGAAAAGTGATCCAGTGTCTGCCTCTATTGGCCTGGCATTTAAAACTGCAAACCAAAAGCTCTCCTTCCACACAGAAGTGCTTCCAAAAGTGTGACTAAAAAAAACCAAACCAACCCAAAAACTAGTGGAAGTAGCATTATTAATTGCTTTAATGCTCTATTTATTGTTTCTTCTATTTTCTTAAGCATTGCCCTGTCTCTTCATTCCAAAACAATAGTATAGAATTCAGATAATCAAGTTATATGGATAATGACCAACCAAAGAAAGCAGTAATGGAGTGCTCCACAGACTGAAATATGCTTGCCTAGATAATAGATGTAGATGAGCTAAAAATCCATTTTGAAAAGAAGAAAAATGGTGTAAAGTAAAACAAAATACTAGTAAGCACAAATAGGTCAGAAATGTGCTTTTTTAACAAGGGAGAACTTTCACAGGTCGTGGTTTTGCTCTGAACTTATACAATTCAGAATCTTCTCTTCAGCTGCTTTATGGTGTGAGCTCTTACTTCACCTTGGTGGCCCACTGAGCCTCACTAGAGTTATATGGGAAAAAGCAGTGACAAGAACTGAAAAATAATGTCTTTTTTTAACAATGTTTTTTTCTTAGATGATTAGGGGCCATTCAAAGAGTTGTGCTCAGAGGCATTAAGCTGGCTTTCGCTTTGCACAGTTCAGTATTTATACAAGCTAAAGCTTATCAGCATGTGATCTCAGCCAACTGATGTATGCATGGAACCCTGTTAAAGATCCACTGTCCCAAAGACTTGAACAAAAGGCATCTCCACAATATTCAGGAACTTAAAATAATCTTGAAAAATAATTTTTTTCCTGGACACAAATGGGTTAATTTACTTAGGGACAAGAAGATCATGTCAATTTAGTCACCTTCCCAAAATTCACAATGCAATATACCTTTTTCAGCCAAAAAAAAAAAAATTACAGATACTGTATTGGTGAGAAGAATAACAGTTAACGTGACAAATATGGCAGTAGTGACAAGGGATAGTAACTTTCAACCAAATAAGAACAAAACAGAAGAAAGGCAGAATCTCCTGGGACTTGGCTACCAGGAAAATGACTGTGCTGAGAGATCACTTTGACATTTTTAGACGTGGCTTGCAGGATGAAACCGGAGTGGAGTGTTCTACTACTGTGGAAAAACAACACAAGTCACCATAAAGAGCACAGAGATGGAAACGCTCACTTATCTTATTTGTATAAATATTTGCAAATGTTGGAAATCCGTTGAAATGGAAAAGGCATGTATGTACATTAGGAAATTGACTGTTGTGGTAGGAAAGCTTAAGCCCTAAATTGTGATGGTGTTGGACATTTACATGAAGTAGTCACGTGGCTCTACAGAATGTGCTTCAAGGTTATGGAAGGCCTTCCCAAGGCAATCTGTGGCTTGGTTTTGCTGTTGCAGCACTGGAAGTAGAAATGAACTTGTTTGCTTAATCCAGGGAAGAAAGAGTGGAACATGAAATCTAGACATAAATGCTCTGAGATAGAAAGCTTTTTATTTTTCTAATGGTTCTTGGCTCTCAAGAGCAATGGCCTTTCCTTTTATTGATCCTGGCCATGAAGGTTTCATGAGCATTGTTTGTAACCTGACAGCTCAGGCAGTGTTTGCTGCTACTCACTTTTATTATCACAATTCTGTTCCTAGTGGGGTTTTTTCAGGGTGGGGAACTGTTTATTTTTTTATTTGGCTGTCAAGAAAGTCTGTACATGGTGTCAGCACTTGTGCAGGACATCAAATTGCAAGACATCAAATGCAGAAGAAGGGAAGTGTTAAGAGTGCCCATTCATACTTGCCTGCCTAAACAAGAGCCTCTACTTCCCTGGCTGTACCAACTTAGTTTTAGTTCAAGTACCATCAGTCTGCACTGTTCAAGGTACACTAACATAGCTCTTCAATGAGTGCTAAGTGCTCAGTGCTGGCCTGCATGGAGTTCTCCATGTTTCACTCATGTAGATATCCCATTATGTCTTCAGGAATTTGTGGATGTTAAGTTTTTTCTGACAGCTTCCTTCCCTAAACTCCCTGTTAAATTTATTCTTATCACTTGACCCATGCTATGTTTTCACATGAAACCACAAAATTAGACTGGAAGTCTCACCAGCTATGCCAGAGGTTTGATCAGGCAGCCAGAACTTGTCAGTGGCTTGAGTGCAACACTGCATTCTCTGGTTGCCTATTTCTGCAGAGCCTGCAACGTGCCTCTCCATGCTGCTGTGGGGAAGTTAATGGATGAAGACAGGCAAGTGTCAATGTTTGGACCATGCCTGAAGAAAGAGACCTGTGTTCCAGTGGTGTGGGAATGTATGGCACCCTCCATACTAGCTCTGCTTCCTTCAGTTTAGAGGATAAAATACATCTGGGAGTGAATTCCTTTTTGCTGAAGAAAAGAGACCAAGAGTGAGGGGAGAAGGAATGGAATGTCTTTGGCACGGTGCACCCAGCAGAACTCCATGAGGCACAATAGTATCCAGGCAAACCAGACTGGTATTCTAAAACATTAGATTATATAGGCTCAGCTTGCTCCTTAGAAATGGGCATTGCTCCAGGTGTACTGAGTGGGGCACTGGTGCTAGTTCTTCTAGACCATGCTATGGAAGGCTGTGATCATGCTCTAGAATGGCCTGGATCATGGTGGAAAAAGACATTACCTTTCTTTTAGTCGTTTTGTGACCTTCTGGAATTTAGTTCTCAGTCATTTTTGAGTATCAGTTTCTAATCAGTTACTTGAGCTACACAGCTGCCCTCAGGCATTTTAATTCTGGGCCAGTCAAAGTTCATCTTTAACTGTCTGGCTGCCCCACAGATATTAGGCCACAAGCTTTTTATCCTGCAGTATTCAGTTCACAGGTGAAAAGCAAAACATTCAAAATTCATTTTTATTTCATAAAAATGGGTTTCTTTTTAAATGCACAGTAAATGCAATGCACCAGAGAGCAGTATTATTTGTCAACACGTTTCACTGGAGCATCCACAACATTCACTTGATCTGAAGTAATCTGATCAGCCTCCTTGGAAAGGACTCACCAAATGTACTGGCTTGGTTTTGGAAAGTGCTGTAACATGAGCGTGCCTCATTCTGCTGGCACAAACATTCCTGTGTCACTCTAAGACTCTGCTTTGGCGTCACTCTGTGCTGGAGAGGAGCAGGAGAGGTGGAAACCTTCCCTGCCTGGTGCACGTTGACAAAACCTCCCCCTCCCAGGGCATGCCAGTGATGCTGCCACTCGCTTCAAGACAGTCACAACCGAGTGTCTTTTGCTGGAAAATCATGAGCT